AAAGCGAGTATTTCAGATGGATCCAACCTAGGGAGGGAGGAGTCTGGAATTGGTGTTTATTGGAGTTGATGAGAAGTGAGCATTTATTATTGTATGCAAAGAGGATGTCTGCGTGCGTATAGAAGAGGAGGCATGCGCACCGAGAGAAGGCAGCTGCTCGCAGGACATTCTGTTTGCGCCCGATCACGTTGAAGCATCATCAGTGCTGGAGCACAGGGACTGCTAAACGTACGAGTGGACAACACTGCCAGCTACTACCTGTTAAGACGTTCTGTTCCGGGGAGCTAGTGTTGTCGTCTTTGCCGGCGGGGCGAAGACCAAGAATCTGGGCGACGGAGTCGATACGCCGTTTTCGGAGAAGAAGCGTCGAACACTTTGGTACGTGCGATAGGACGTTGCGTATGGTTCCACAGCAGAATAGAGAGCGCTGGCTGACAGCGGTCAGCGCACCGCCGTGATACGTATCGCTATCCCGGAGGCATAGGGGGGCATAGGCCAGACGGGCACAACTGCCATGTGTTGACAGGCGGGTGTGCATATGATGTGTCGCTGTTCCTGGGGGCTTGCTCGCAGCAGGGCGGTGCCTAGCTGATGATGATGCGAAATGCGGCGCGTGCGCTGGTGTGCATGGAGCGGCGCAGTTTCAATCACAAATGACAAGCCAAGGGTGAATGGAGGCATGAATGGAGGCATAGGGGGGCATAGGCCAGACGGGCACAACTGCCATGTGTTGACAGGCGGGTGTGCATATGATGTGTCGCTGTTCCTGGGGGCTTGCTCGCAGCAGGGCGGTGCCTAGCTGATGATGATGCGAAATGCGGCGCGTGCGCTGGTGTGCATGGAGCGGCGCAGTTTCAATCACAAATGACAAGCCAAGGGTGAATACGCGACAGAGGATATCATACGAGTATGCCAGACACAACCGCAACCCCTTTGGCGTGCGAAGAGGGTGTTACACCGACCGCTAGGAGCGGACCAGTTTGGTTTGTTTGTTTTGTGTACAAACTTTAACGCGTGTGTGTCGGCATACACGGCCAAGCGGAGAAATACAGCATATATGTCGCCGGGCGAATGTAATTTTTAAATTCCGGTACAGCAGTCTCGGAGACTGCTGTGGTGTGGTTGTGCTAACACCGATTACAATGACCAGACAAGGCACAAGTTTGAGTGCAGGTCATTAAATACACGACGAGGCACGAATAATTGAGTGCAGGTCCGTCGGATCGAGGAAGAGGGGCCCAGAGACGAAATACAAACTAATCCGTCGGCCCGAGGAAAGGTGGTGGATAATATCCACACCCACACCCAACACACGTTGATTTCGCAGCAGCTTGTTTTTCGTGTACACTTGATGGACGGGTTTTTTTTTCCCACGAGGTTTTCCAGAAGTCAATGTGGACCGGATAAAAAGATGGGGCGATGATTGATCTGAACCATAATGGCTGATCATCTAGCGATGAGTTGTGGTTCTCGAGGTGTAGCACGTATGTCGCTGGTGCGATTGCGGGACGGATTGCGGCCGTCAGGAAACATAATCCGGGTGCCGATTTTGTACGCACGAATATGGTCGTTGTGTATGGAAAAATCGATGGCACGGCCGGACGAATCGATTCAATCTATAGAGCGAGCTGGTACGCTTGGGCGTATGATGCTGGCTCACGGTTATTGATCGTAGACCAGGGTACGGATCATATGAGAGATGAGACGTGGTGGTCAGGAGTCGCTGGTGCGGCTGAGATACAGTATGCGGTCGTTAAGATACGTATGCATACTGAAGGTTACTCGACTCGGTTGCACGTACGACTATGGGTCGTTGGCACGGAATGATCGGTCGAGACGGAAATAATCGAATTGGAGGGTGCTAGTACGCTGGTGCGTACGATGTCGGCGCACGGTTATCGATTATAGACCAGGGTCCGGGCCATCTGGAGATGAGCCGTGGTGGTCAGGAGTCGCTGGTGCGGCTAGAATACTGTATGCGGTCGTGGTGATACATACGCATACTGAATGTTACTCAACCGATTTGCACGTATGACTGCTGTGTTCGTTGACACGGAAGAATCGGTAGAGAGAACAAAAGACACAACGCGATATATACAGCAGATGGTAATGGTACCACACTGCATATAACGCTGGTTACGCTAGAGCCTTCTGATGCGGTTCATCTGGCGATGAGCCGTGGTGGTCAGGAGCCGCACACACGTTGCGTGGCGTGTTGGTCGCTGGTGCGGCTGGTATTCTGTGTGCTGTCGTTATGATACATACGCATACTGAATGTTACTCGAACTGGTTTGGCACGTACGACTATGGGTCGTTGGCACGGACTAATCGGTCGAGGGGAAAAAGACACAACGCGATATATACGGGTTGCTCACGGTTAATCGATTGTAGACCAGGGTGCGGGTCATCTGGAGATAAGCCGTGGTGGTTAGGAGACGAACACAAGTTGCGTGGCATGTAGGTCGCTGGTGCGGCTGCGATACGGTATGCGGTCGTTATGACTCATATGCATACTAAATATTACTCGGACCGGTTTGCAAGTACGACTGTGGGTCGTTTTGCACGGAATAATCGGTAGAATGCCACGAAGGCACCACGCTACCTATACAGCTGGTTACGGCGGCAACACATATATATTTGCCGCTGGTTGCGGAAGCACACATATGCGAGAACACCGGGAACACAGAACTAACGTGTGGTATGGGCCGACTTCTGGGCAGGATATGTATACATATATATGCTTCCCACCTGGTGGTGCGTGGTTCCCATCGGTGTGTGGACTGCGGGGGTGCACACTAGCGGAGTTAGTGATGCGTGTTGGCGGTCATGGAATGATCGGTGGAGCGGCAGGACAATCAAAACAAATCAATTATAATATAAAGTCTGGAGCTGGTTACGCTGAAGCGTGTGGCTCACGGCCTGTTGATTGTAGACCAGGATGACGGGTCATCTGGCGATGATCCGTGGTGGTCACGAGCCGCACGCAACATGTGTGGCAAGTCTGTCGCTGGTGCGACTGCGATATGGTATGCTGTCGTTACGACACATACATCTGGTGATGAGTCGTGGTTATCAGGAGCCGAAAGCAACGTGTGTAGCACGTATGTCGTTGGTGCGACTACATCCTCTAGGTGTGTCTGCCGGCGCAAGACAAGGTTAGCGGATTGGTGACAACCGCCGGCCACACTCGAGAAAAACAAAAACAAATCCACTTCGACTGTCGCTGCTGCTTGTTATGTCGTGTACACTTGACGGATGGGTATTTTTTTTTTCCCACGAGGTTTTCCAGAAGTCAATGTGGACCGGATGAGAAGGGGTGCGATGATTGATTGTCAAGCATGATGGCGTGTCATGGGCGATGAGTCGTGGTTATCAGGAGCCGCACGTAAGATGTGTGGCATGTATGTCGCTGGTGCGACTGCGGGCCGGCATGCGGCCGTAATACACAAAGTAAACCTTGCATGGACCGGGTGTGCACGCACGAAGTGGGTCGTCGTGCATGGAATAATCGGTGGAGCGGCAAGAGGGCAAAACAAACCAAGTGTATAGAGCTGGTTACGCTGGAGCGCATGTTGCCGGCTCACGACCTATTGATCGTAGACCAGAATGGCTGGTCATCTGGAGATGATCCGTAGTGGTCAGGAGCCGCACGCAAGATGTATGGCATGTCCGTCGCTAGTGCGACTGCGAGACGGTACAATTGTATGCGGTCGTTATGACACATACTGAGATACATATGCATACTGAAGGTTACTCGAATCGGTTTGCCCGTACGACTATGGGTCGTTGGCACGGAATAATCGGTCGAGACACAAATAATCGATATAGAGCGAGCTAGTACGCTGGTGCGTATGATGTCGGCTCACGGTTATCGATTGTAGACCAGGGTCCGGGTATGATGCCGGCTCACGGTTATTGATCGTAGACCAGGTATGGGTCATCTGGAGATGAGCCGTGGTGGTCAGGATTCGCTGGTGCGGCTGGGAGACCGTATGCGGTTGTTATGATACATACACATGAATGTTACTCGAACCGGTTTATACGTACGACTATGGGTCGTTGGCACGGACTGATCGGTCGAGATAAAAGACACAACGCGATATATGTAGATGGTACTGGTACACACAACGCTGGTTACGCTAGAGCCTTCTGATGCGGTTCATCTGGCGATGAGACGTGGTGGTCAGGAGTGGCGTGTAGGTCGCTGGTGCGGCTGGGATACTGTTGGCATACGCATCATTGTTTTAAGTTCCCGATGTATGTTGTCCCCTTTGTTCATCATGATCAGGAGATTGATCGGTACATCGGCGGCAAATCGGCCGGGGGCGGAGATATGAGCGGGGACGAGAACTCCTCCGACGAGTCTAACTTCGGCCGCGACGAGTATGAGGCGGAGCGGCAGGACAGCGCTCATGAGTGAGCCGTCATCAGCGCCTCGGTGGAGGACCTGAAGGCCGAGATGGCGGCGAGGTGCGCGGAGGTGCTGGCAGCCGTGCGTGATCGGGGCGGCGGGGCCGCCGCGGGTGGCGCTGCCGGAGTTGCACCAGCGCCCGGGTATGGGGGCGCGCGTGCAGCTGCCGGCGTGACGCCGGCGCCCATGTACGGGGCGCGAGTGCGGGTTACGGGCTCCACCGCGTGGAATCGAGTCCCGGGTTGCTGCAGGGCGCTGGTCGGTATGGCAGTGGGGGCGGCTTGGCTTCACTCCCGCGATTTCATCGCCGTTTGGAGCGGGAGGCCTGAACATGGACTCCGGGGGATACGGGATGGGAACGGGGACGTCGCACGCCCAGCGGCGGATGGGAAAGGTGATCTCGGACCAGCGGGTGAACGCTTGGAGCTCGGCGAGCAACCGCATGTGATGTTCGCGGACGAGATGCAGCGGCGCTCGGACCAGCTGGAACGCCTGCGGGCGACCATCAGCGAGTGGCCTCCCACACGCTGCTTTGCTTCTGAGTCCGAGTTGCGGGGGGTGATTGGTTCGTTTTTGCATATATGTGAAGTCGTGCAGACTGGTAAATATTTTTTGGTCGCCGCATGCTCAACCAGTTGGGGCTACCGCCGGTGCAAGTGCCCGCCCAGGGGGCGACACGGAAACGAATCGGTCCCGAATTTCATGCTGACATGCGGTTTTTGGCGTCTGTTGGTCGACGGGGGCCTGGGGTCGCCGTCGCGGTTGTTAACAGCCCCACTTGGGTGTTTCTTTGATCAACCATATTCGTGTCTTTCGTGGTCGGACGCATCTGGAGATGCGATGGGAGGGTACTTCTTGCATGCCGAATTCCGTTCGGGAGTGTGGTGGCGTTTTGATTTTAGTCAGGAAGTACGGGAGAGGTTTCGACAGCAGGCCCAGGGGCGTGACGATCTGAGCATCAACATGCTCGAACTCCTCGCGATGGTAGTTGGCGCCTGGGTGTTTATTGTACAATCGGAAATGAGGCCAGAGTATGCCCGCAATGGCATTCTTATGATGGGAGGCAATTCGTCGAGTGTCGCGTGGGTGAACAAGTGTCGGGGGGGGAGCGAGCCCCGATCGAGGGCACTCTTGCGTATGCTAGGATGTTTGGAGATGGGCAGCGGATGGTGCTTTGAGGCGGCTCATGTTGGGGGATCGATAACACGATTGCAGATGGTATTTCACGATGGGAGCCGGCGACTATTGACGCTCGTCTTCGCCTGTCCCGTCCCAATGTTGCCTGGCGCCAACATGTCTTGAGCCCGGCGGTCGCCGATCTTTGTACCGACGTCTTAGCGGAGAGTACGTCCGCGAGTCACTTGCGCAGTCGTCTCGAAGAACTTACCTGTCGGGTTGGTGGGCTTGGTGTGCTTTTCGCCGCATGATTGGCGAGTCGGAGTACCTCTCGAGGGACGCGGATGGGGCTGAGCTGGACCAAGCACTTTTGGAGTTGTGGCGTGGTGTTGTGCAGATAAGGGTAATGTTGCAACAACCATATCCGGCAAGCTCGCCGCGGTGCAGTACTTTCATCGAGTTGACAAGCAGCGTGAGTTGCCCGCCGGTGCGCCTCTTATCAAGCGGAGTTTGTTGGGTGTCGCACGTGTTCACGTTCGCGCGGGTACAACGAGTCGGAGTCGGGTTCCCGTCTCATGGGAGACGCTGGTGGAAGGACAGCAGTTGACGGCGTCGTGGGGTACAGGTGGCCGCNGGGTACAAAGAGTCGGAGTCGGGTTCCCGTCTCATGGGAGACGCTGTTGAATGACAGCAGTTGACGGCGTCGTGGGGTACAGGTGGCCGCGTGTTGTGGCTGTGTTTGGCGTTGTCGTACTTCCTGGTGGCGCGTTCGGATGAGGTTTTTGCCACACTGTCGGGGCAATGCCACCAGGTGCATTGTTTGCGGCGTAGCGACGTCGAATTCTTTCATGGGGAGGACGTGCTAGCCCCGTTGCACTGGCATATGGCCACAGGAGTTCGGGTTCGGTTTCGCGGCCACAAGGGGGATCAGTCGGAGAAGGGGGCGTACGTTACACGAGTGCGCGAAGTAGCACGAGGCGCGAGTTCTCAGATTGGAGCCGGTGGCGGTGCCGTGGCGGTGTTGGTGGAGTTGATGGCGTGCCATCTCGCGTTACCTGAGGACGCTCCTCTGTGTTCGTTTCGCTGTAGGAGAAGCAAGACGATTAAGGTTTGGGGATATTCCAA